ATCTATTCATTTGGCATGATAATGTGGGAGGTATCTTCAGGACGGTTGGCATTTTCAAACAAAAAACACGATTTAGACTTTCTTATAAAAGTTTGTGAAGGTATAAGACCAGCCGTTGTTAAAGGAATACCGCAGTGTTATGTTGATCTCATGAAAAGATGTTGGGATAATTATCCAGAGAAACGTCCAACAGCTTCGGAAATTTATGAAGTTATTCAATCTTGGAAAAATGATTATAAAATTTTATTAAAATTTAATGAGTTTGATGAAACCATATATGATGAATCAGGTACTACACATTCTCAAGCGGTTTATACAAGTAGATTTATTAGTCTTAATGAATTAGAGATCATAAACTCTCGGGCAGTTTACACAAGCGGAATTATCAATGATGATAACAAGATTATAGAAAGTCAAGATAACATACCTATTGAATATATGGAAAGCTTATTATGTCAAAAATCAGAGTGAAACATAGTACTGTACAGAAAATTGCACAATATCGGAAAAAAGACCTTCGGGACTTTAATATCTATAGTTTTGTTTGTATTTTGTTATTTCAGTGTATTGTTGTTCTTATTTCAAAATCTTATCTATGTCTAAATGTATAATTGAATAGAAAAATGAGGGTCTTGTCCATTTTCAACAAATACATTTTACCTATTTATTTGCCAATCAATTATTTTCATCGATTTCTAATGATTCTTTCTTTCAAATTTATAATTCTTCGCATTTTATCATATCTTTGTAAATTAATTCACAATTCTCCAATGCTGTTAATAATCAATTTCCGAATGACGATACAGATGATGATTGATGATCATTATTTTCTTTCACAATTAGGGACTGGACTCGTCCAAAAAAATTCAACCCGGGTTACCTGTCGGTTAATTGCTAACCTACCCGGGTAAGTACTCGGGTAAAGTATAATTCACAAATAATACGATTTGATTGGTCGGGCGTCATCACATGACCAAGCACATAATGAATAGTGGGGGTTGAGTCAATAGAAATCAAGCAAATTTTTTTTAATAAGTTTTTTAAAAACTTTAAACAAGAATAACTTAGCAAAAACTTAGTCAAATTTAATAAAATTTTTTTTAAATTAATTCTACAAGTTAGTAAAAATTATTTAAAAAAATTTTTATTAAATTTGGTCAAGGTTTCATTAAGTTATTCTTGTTTAAAGTTATAAAAAAATTTTATTATAAAAAATTTGCTTGATTTCTATTGACTCACCCCCACATATTGGTGTGAAACTTGAAAATTTATTAAAAATGAAAACTTAATTTACTAAGAATCTACAATTTTAAGAAGTTATAAAGCTAATTAGAAAAAAAAAATCAATAGTATTAGACAAATAAATGGAACATATACATTTTTGTGGTCAAACGTCCATTAAGAAACATTCGATAGTTAAATATAAAACAAACAATACATTTTTTCCAATTATAGTATATTTTATATTATTCATTAATATTCAACTCGTCAATATTCAACTCATTCAATTCACTAGCTATTAAATTATTATAATTAATATTAAAAGAATAAATTTTAATTATTATAAAATATTAAATATAGATACCTTGATAAAACGATTTAGCATAACTAATAGGTTTACTTTTATAATTATCAACAGGATATGTTTGTATATGTGTACATATAATATTTTTTAATAGTTCATCCGATTTAGTTAGTTCTAATAAAATATTTTCGTCATTAATCCAATCTGTAAGGGTTTCACAGATTTTTATTGCTGATGGACGGTTTACTGGATCCTTTTCCCAACATTTCTTCATCAGATTTATGTAACCTTGTGGAGTATTTTCAATAATAGTTGGCCGTAAGTCGTTGCAGCATATTTCAATATGAAGTTGTGATCCAAATTCTCGATTATAAGATACAGGTCTTCCATATAAAATTTCCCACATAATTATGCCAAATGAATAAATATCCGATGCTGTTGAATAATAACCTCTATCTAAAGCTTCTGGTGCTATATATGGTAAAATTCCATAGGTTCTATGTCTTTCTGTACTTAATGCTATATTTGCTGGTATGGAAAGTCCCAAATCTGCAACATAAGCGCTATGTAAATGATCTTGTAGAATATTACCACTATGCAAATCTCGATGAATAAGTTCTAGTGAATGAATTATTCGAAGATCAGAAACAATACAATGCAATAATGTTAATTTATCTTTCCATTTCATTCGTGCTACAGAGTGAAGATTTTTACGCAATGAACCCATTGAAGCGTATTTCAGGACAAGGATATAGTCTCCTGAATCATTTTTTGATACTCCATAGCATTTTAAAAATGAAGGATGTTTAGAGCTAATTTCACAATACGCCTTTAACTTTAATGTTATTAAAATAAAAAATAAAGTACTTAATATTTAAAATTTATTAAAGAAAAACAAAGCATATAAATAAAATCACCTCTTTTATAAATTCTTCGTTATTGGATTTTGACCCATTGATCAATTTGAGTGCAACGCCTTTCAAAATGTTTTGTTCTGTATCTACCCATTCAGCATAAAATACTGTTGCAAATCCACCTTGTTCTATTTCTTCAATATTCATTAACTCTTTATATGAAATCCATGGTAATAGATATTTTCCCTCAACTAAAAAATTTTTAACATCATCAATGTTAGAATTTTCATTTGTCCATTTTCCAGTGGATAAAAAAACATAGTAGTAAATAAACTTAAATTATATTAAATAATTTTAAATTACCAAAAAACCCCAAATGATCAAACTTATTATTTTTTCCTGCCCTAGTTTTATTAGAAAATATATATTTAAATATTTAGAAGGTTGTGGTAAAAAATTAAATGATAGATAATTTACATTTGACACCAATAATCAGCTTTCCGTAAATTTCTCGAAATTCCAATCCCATTTCGATAACAATAACCAAGTTGAGACATTCCGTTAGTATGTCCCATTTTGGCAGATTTCCGAAAATGGCGAAATGCTATATCATCATCTTTATCAATCCCTAATCCATAAAGATAACAATATCCAATTTGATTCATCGCATTAGCATCTCCCAATTTAGCAGATTCCTGAAAATGAATGAATGCCTTATGTTCATCCTTCTCCACCCCTATTCCATTTTGATAACAATTTGCAAGATTAAATATTGCTTTAGCATTTCCCATATCTGCAGATTTTTGATGATTAATGAATGCCTTATCTTCATCTTTTTCAACTCCTATTCCATATCGATAGCAATGTCCAAGACGATTTAATGCATTTGAATTCCCCATTTCGGCAGATTTTTGATAATGAATGAATGCCTTATGTTTATTCTCCTCCACCCCTATTCCTTTTTGATAACAATATCCGGTTTGATATATTCCATCGACATTTCCCATTTCAGCAGATTTTTGATAATAAACGAATGCCTTATGTTCATCCTTCTTTACCCCTAATCCACGTAGATAAAATTTAGCAATATTATATAATGCAGTAGCATTTCCCATCTCAGCAGATATTTGATAATTGATTAATGCTTCATGAATATCTATATAAGTGCCAATTCCATTTTCATAACAATATCCAAGGTTATTTATTCCACAAGCATCACCTAAACTAGCAGAAATTTGATAACAACTGAATGCTCTATATTCATTTTTTTTAAATCGAATTCCGTGTTGATAGTGAAATCCAAGTTTATTTATTGCATCAGGATGTTGCAATTTAGCAGATTTTTGATAATTAATGAATGCCTTGCGTTCATCTTTTTTAACACCCTTTCCATAAAAATAACAGTCTGCAAGCTCATATATTCCCTTGGCATTTCCCATCTCGGCAGATTTCTGATAGTGAATAAATGCCTTATTTTCATCCTTTTCAATTCCTATTCCATATTCATAGCAATATCCAATTTGATTTAACGCATTGGCATTTCCCATCTCAGCAGATTTTTGATAATGAATAAGCGCCTTATGTTCATCCTTTTCAACCCCTATTCCATATTGATAGCAATATCCAAGGTTATTTATTGCACTAAAATTGCCCATCTCCGCAGATTTTCGATAATTAACGAATGCCCTATGTAAATCTTTTTTAACTCCTATTCCATGTTGATAGCAATATCCAATTTGACATATTGCAAAAGGATCTCCCATTTCGGCAGATTTTTGATAAAAAATGAATGCCTTATATGTATCCTTTTCAACTCCTATTCCATGTTGATAATTGTATCCAAGATCAGTGAGGTCAATTTTCTTCATTTTCTTTTTGAGTGTTAAACGAGAAACCGAACCATTTAAATAATTTAACCGTGTGTGGCTGTATTACGTACGGTGCAGGAAATCTAATTTATAAAATAAAGGTTAACTAACTCATTGGCGATGAATTAAATTCGTCATTCACAGTAGCATATTACATACGTATTACGTACATACATATTTGTTTTTTGCTTTTGTCTTTATGCAAATAATTTAGGAATTTAATTGCGATGTACTTCTAGTTTATACATCATATCTACACAGAGATCTTGGCGTCGTACGTACGCTGAATTACTTTTCTGGAGGATCATCTGAAGCCAGGTGCGTCCACACGACTAACGGCCAATCAAGATATAAAATTTAATTAACCCGGATCAGCATGTTGATTACTTCATTAAAATTAAGGTAAGGGTTAGTTAGTGGTTAGGGTAGCATATAAGAAACTCGTATCCGATAGATTCCGAAATCATTGTTACACGAATTATTTATATGGTCAATTAAAAATTTGATATACGTACGTTGAAAAAGTGTGACTTAAGCGTTTAGAGTTAAAACTAGCTGAATCCAACGACTACAACAATTAATCTATAATCAAAGAATCCTAAAGACTTCGATTTGGCAGGCAGAAAGAAGGCGTGGAGAGACTTGGTCCGAGTCTCGAAGCTTTTCGGGTCTTGCTGCGGCTTTCTTGGCGGTTAAAATAAGTATACCGTCGAATTACACTTATGTTGGTTGTTAATATACTTCAGCCGGAAGCTAAGTATGTCTTAGTTTTGGCGGGTTTCAGTCTTTAATACAATCGTTAAGTTTCTTAACGATTGTCACGTGTATCACGTGTAATAACTACTGCGGTGATCGGCTATTAAGTATCGAGACTTAATTTACTATTGGTGTCACGGGTTCTGATGTCTCGAAGATCGATTTAGGGGTGCCCTCAAGCGCCTCAATCAATAGATCGGTGTATAAATTTTAATTAATAAAAATTAGCTCAGCCGGTCAAGAGAGTTTATCTCGCAGTCAAAAAAAAAAGATAGTTAGTGACCATCTTTTTTCTTTATAGAGCTGTGCTGATTGGCCAAAATTTATCATAGAGTGAGATTATTCAAGCACTTTACAATCA